AAGGGGGCGGGGCCTCGGGCAGAAGAGTCAGGGCTGGGGCCAGACTCCCCCAGCCAGCCCTTCAGTACTGCTTGGCCCACGCCGCCTGGGGCTCCGGCGGTGATTTAAAGGGCCCGTGGCTCGCCACCGCTAGTGCTACTCCAGGGCTCCTGCCCGTTAAATCATTGCCACAGCCCCGGGGCTCCTGGCTGCTGCCACTACCCCAGGGCTCAGGACTCCCGGCCGCCACTACCACTACCCCGGGGCTCCAGCGGTGATTTAAAGGGCCCAGGGCTCTGGCTGCTGGCGCAGTAGTGGCAGTGGCCAGGAGCCCTGGAACTTTAAATCACCACCAGAGCCCCATGGTAGCAACGGTGGCGGCTGGGAGCCCCGGGGCTCTGGTGGGCCCCGGGGAAGCTGCCCCTTTTGCCCCTCTCTCACCCCCCCCCATCAGCGACCCTGCTGGTACGATCGGTTGTGTATCGGCTCTTACTGGTATGCCGTACTGGGCCATACCGGCTTACTTTCACCTCTGATTTACTTACTAAATACTGTGATGGTGGTTTGTGCATATATGAAAGGAAAAAAGTTAAACCCCTCTCCTGCGAGATAGAGTACTGTTTGAAGGAAAGATAACACTAGATACATATTTACATTATGACATCCACACCCTGCAGTGAAGAGATACTTAGTGAATATGTCATTTCGTCTGGGGGGAGGAACCTGAAATACTGCTGTTTTACCAGAAATGCTGCTGTCCTGATTGTGACCTAAGAATCTCTTAATGCCAACTGGTAAAGGGGTGCAGAGGGCTTACAGGAATCTCATGAGTCTGGTGTGTAAATTCTAGTTCACCAAAGAATATCATGCAAGGTCTCACATAAAAGCCAATGTCACACTGGCCATAAAGATCATTGCAAAATTCATGTACAGGTGTTGTGTAAGGAGTTATGTATATATAACCAAAAATATGTTCTTGAAGTCTGCGGCTGTGAAGCTGGACAACAGCAATAGTGAAAAATAGGTTTTCTGTTTATTCATCTGTCTGTTTACATGTAACTTTAGTATTGCCTCATTCACAATGGGTCTACTATCACACATCTGAACCAAATGCAATTGAAGGGTTGTGGGGACTTCAGAAAGAAAGTAACAGGAGGAGAAAAAGAGGGAAGGAGAGAACCATAACTGGTGGTACAGATCAAAGGTTTGCTTGAGCAGGGCCGCCCCGGGGGGGTGGGGGGGAAGGGGCGCAAATGGGGCAATTTGCCCCAGACCCCACAGGAGCCCCCACGCATATGTCAGCGGCTCCCCCCGACTCCGTCTTCCCCCATCCCCCGGTGTCTCAGCTGGTAAGGGGGCGGGGCTGCAAGCTGCGTCCAAGCAGTGGGAACTCAGGCCCTGCTGGAGACACCATGCCGCTGCAGCGCTGTCCGGGGCCGCTCCTGGACGCAGGGCGCTGAGGCTCTGGGAGAGGGGGTAAGCAGCATGGTAAGGGGCCGGGCACCCCCTGACCCCATCCCCCACAGCCCTGACCCCCAGCTCCAAGCCCAGCCCCTCTGAGCCGGGTACCCCCCGACTCCATCCCCCCACAGCCCTGACCCCCAGCTCCAAGCCCAGCCCCTCTGAGCCAGGCACCCCCGACCCCATCCCCCCACAGCCCTGACCCCCAGCTCTGAGGCCAGCCCCTGTGAGCTGGACAGCCCCCTGACCCCATCTCCCCATAGCCCT